ACAAGAAATATTAATGCAATTATAGTAGCCATATTGAAAAGATGAAACATTGATCACGCAGAATTTCGCATAGCCTGATATTGACTGGTCCATATAATATAGAATGGAAATAATTGTTCTTGAGCAGGTTGGACTTACAATAGTGACAGCGATTGAAGATTGCATTCAGAAGGAGCAGTTGAAGAAGCTAGGCTTATTCACAGGAACAAAAGAAAATTGTGGTGACCTAATTCCAGCTTTTGTTGTGCAGAATATACTAGTATTGATAGCAGGACAAATTACTCTCACTGTCAGACATGAAAGCAAGATTCACGTGATGCTGCTGTACTGCACTACTCTTGCTTTCAAATAGGTCCTCAGTACCTAGGGGACGGGTGATGTATTGGTCCAAAGAACATTATGGCTCATCATTTTCTGAGAAACTGCTGTGTTTCTTCTCAGGACAGTGTGCCATGCCTTTGGCACCGGCTTGTGATAAAACCATTCCTTAAAATTTGATGTCCTCCCGTTTTTCTGCCTGTGTCATCCCACATGGACCTGTGTGCGCCGTGAAGCTTGTAACTCATATGATATATTCCTGCACTGAAGTCTTTGTTTAGGCTTTTATGGTCACTAATTGAGGGTGAAGCCCTCCACAGTTTGCGAGGTTTTTAAGAACATTTGGTGCTTTTTTAGGGTTAATCTGGAAGACAGCAACAATCTCAAAGTACTTTATTCATTTTAGTGGAAGAGCAGGATAATCAGAGGCAAGGACTACTACCAAACTGACAGAGTTACTGGGTGCAGGAGCTAACAGTTACTTGTGTGGTTTTTGGTTTGTTTTGGTTTTTTCAAACACAGTGCCTTCGTTTTTACATTTCTGACATAATCCCATGTGGGACATATAAAATATTAATCCTTCCTCAGAGGGTTTGTCTTGAAGTCCCTGTATGTATAAAAGATGGAAATCAGCAGTGGAGGCCTCCCTCCCTGCTGCATTGATGTCTGAGGCCTTGTTTGCAATGGAAATCCATCCCTGTCCTTGTAGTATGATGAGTGCTCTTGGACGATGAGCTACCCGAAAAGACTGATTTTTACATGAATGGACCAAGTGATAACGTTGCCCCAAATTCCTTTTAAGTGAACGATGAATGTGGTGTTTCATTCACAGACACGGGCAGACTGGCTCCCTCCACCACTCCCTGCTCCATAATCTCTTTTATCTTTCCTTGCAAACCCTTAGAGGATAAAGGCTTTGTACACTTTCAGCTGCTCTCTAATTATAACTCATTTGCTAGCAATGGTTTGTGGTTTAGACAGAAATGCATGCTTTTTAGTTTCTGTCTTCATATACAGCTCCTCAGTGTTGACTTTCTCCCCATGCCATTGTGCATTGCTTTATGAATACACAAGCATGACTTTTACCAAGATCTATACCAGTCTCACCAGTAGGTTTACAAAGAAGTTGTGACCCGTTGTTCTGCAAATGCCATTAAACTCTCGCTGTCCCAAGAAGCCATCAGCCAGCTGAGCTAGTGCAATTGGCAGTAAAATGAGAGAATATGTGCCTTAGTAATGGAATTGATCACATGTTGACACCAGGCTATGCCCTCCATAAGATTCTCAAATAAAATCTCCTGTATGGATAGTCAGAATTGTGCAGAATCAAAGGCTCGTTTTGAAGTCTGCAACTACTTCAAGACACTGCCTTATCCTGGGTGAGGTTGCACTTGAACATAGCTGACCTGGGCCACCATGTGAATTTGAAATAGGGAGTGTGTGCGGTGTAAAAACCTGAAGCAAAGAGAAGTGTAGTGAAGGTTGTAGTAGGAGGAGGTGATTGTACAGGGAAAGAAGCTCCAGGAAGAAAAAAGGAGAAATTCTTAGGAATTCTTAGGAAGCCTCAGTGTAGAAACCTGAGAGGTGTTAAGGATGTAGACGGATTGTAGCTTATTTCTTCTCATCATGCTTTCATCTCTGAGAACTACTGTAGTAGTTCCCCTGATGCAGCTTCATGCCTGTGGTGAGTTGACCCTCGCTAGAGGCCAGGTGCCCACCAAAGCCGCTCTATCACTGCCCCTCCTCAGCAGGACAGGGGAGAGAAAATACAACAAAAGGCTCATGGGTCGAGATACAGCAAGGGGGAGATCACTCACCAGTGACACTTACAGACTCGACTTGGGGAAAAAATTTATTACCAATCAGATCAGAGCGGGATAGTGAGAAAACAGAATCTTAAAAACACCTTCCCCCCATCCCTTCCTTGTTCCTGGACTCAGCTTCACTCCTGATTTTCTCTGCCTCGTCCCCACGAGTGACACAGAGGAACAGGGTATGGGGGTTGCAGTCGGTTCATCACACACTGTCTCTGCTGATCCTTCCTCCTCAGGGGGAGGACTCCTCACACTCTGCCCCTGCTCCAGCATAGGGTCCCTCCCACGGGAGACAGTCCTTCACGAACTGGTCCAGCGTGAGCCCTTCCGATGGAGTGCAGTTCTTCATGAACTACCCCAGCTTGGGTCCCTTCCACGGGGCATAGTCCTTCAGGAAGAGACTGCTCCAGTGTGGGTCTCCCATGGGGTCACAAGTCCTGCCCACAAACCTGCTCCAGCAGGGGCTCCTCTCCCCACGGAGCCACAGGTCCTAGCAGGAGCCTGCTCCGGCCCGGGCTCTCCATGGGGTCACAGCCTTCTTTGGGCATCCCCGTGCTCTGATGTGGGGTCCTCCCTGGGCTACAGGTGGATGTCTACTCCACCATGGACCTCCATAGGCTGCAGGGGCATGACCTGCCTCACCATGGTCTGCTCCACGGACTGCAGGGGAGTCTGCTCCGGCACTTGGAGCACCTCCTCCTCCTTCTTCTTCACTGACTTTGGTGTCTGCAGTTGGTTCTCTCACATAGTCTCACTCCTCTCTCCAGCTGCGCAGGTTTTTTTTCTTTCCCCCTTCTCAAATATGCTGTTCCAGAGGCGTTAACTACCACTATCGCTGATGGGCTCGGCCTTGGCCAGCGGTGGGTCCGTCTTGGAGTCGGCTGGCATTGGCTCCATCAGACATGGGGGAGGCTTCTTGCAGCTTCTCACAGAAGCCACCCCTGTAGCCCCTGTCCTGCTACCAAAACCGTGCCAGGCAAACCCAATACAATGCCATTTCCTCGTGTCCTATCGCTGGTTAGCAGAGAGGGGAGATCAGCGCTTCCCCCTCCGCTGCCCCCCGTGAGGAAGGTGTGGGCTCCGATGAGGTCCCCCCTCACCCTTCTCCAAGCTGAACAAGCCAAGTGACCTCAGCCGCTCCTCGTAAGTCTTGCTCTTGAGGCCTTTGCCCATCTTTGTTGCACTCCTCTGGGCACACTCAGCAGTCTAGTGTCTTCCTTACACTGAGGCACCCAAAACTGCGCAGTACTCGAGTACTAGAGAGGAGGAGGGTCATCTGATTCCGGGCGTGGGGGGTGGGGCAGGGCAGAGTGGAGAGTGGGCACCTCCTGGCTGTCAAGGACTGTGTCATGTGCATCCCTCTGTGTTAAAGTGGGTTTTAAGTGCTAACAACTGGTATTGCCTCTTGGTATGTCCTAGCACAGTTAATGGAGAGGTGTAACTGGAAAGCATGCATGATACACATTAGTGTACTCAAGCATATACGTAGAAAAGCATGCTGTTCTCATTAGAATTATTTGTGAACCTTTTTAGCTACAAATTATTTGAAAAGTATGAGCATTTACTTTCATGATACAATTCTAATGAAGCAAAATAAATGGTATGAATCCCATTCTGCACTTAATAGCTCCTGTCTGTCAGACTGGAAGCTCCTGATGTGCTCATCTATTTCTTTAGGGAACCACTTTCTCCCAAACATCTTCATTTTTCACTATGCAGAATGTTGAGGCTATTATGCTTTACTGGGGTAACAAGTCTGCTAGACCCTTTTTACTTACTCTTCTGTGGTATAAATGCTGCTGTTCTTTCCACGTTGCTGCTGTACTTCAGATATAGCCAACAGCAACTGTCAGGCACTACATCTCTGTATCTGTCTTCCTTCCTTTGTTTTTCCCTCCATGCTCCTTTATTTTCTGTAAATGCTATTATGTGGTCAATATTCTGCCAGATCCACCTCACTGCATTTAGTTATGCGGTGTTGAAGAGTAGCTGAGCAGTTAACAGAAGTTGCATGCTCGTAGAGCCTTGCTATAGGGTTTTTTCTCCAGCGTGAATGTTGAATCATTGAATATCAGCTGAGTTTGAAATTTACCTGAATATGTTTTACTATTCCAAAGAGATTACGCAATGGCCCTGATTAGCAGCAGCATTTTGTAATACCACTTAAGGCCTTATCACAGTGGAGTACTGCCAGTAATAGTCTTTAATTCACTTATATGTACCAATTCATCTGTGTCAGGTTTCCATTAATTTCTTTGCTGTTTTACTTTGTCCCTGTCACCTATATAATAAGGCATGATTTCCACATTTATGTAGTCAAAATAAAATTTAAAAAGTTAAATCTTCAGCAAATTAACTGTGGTCCTTTGATTTGAGACAACTGTGCCATCTCTCCATTTATCTACACATTTAATCCGCTTTTCACAAGTTAATGTATTTAGGAGAATCTAGGTGGGTCAAGTGACCAAGGAGCAATAACAGTTTTACTGGCTAATTTAGATTAAAAGTTTCAGGATTGGGTTAGGTATATTAACTGCAAAGTGGTGGGTGGGTGTGTAATTAAATCTGTATGTGTTTGTGCGTACATACACATGCATACACACTTAAGAAAAGCCACACTATATTCAGCATTAATTATTTTCATCAGAATGATGACTAACCTTGGTTACAAAAGTGATTGCCAGAGATAAAGAACAAAATTGCTGCATGCACCGTTTTGTTTTATCTGGCACTGGTTTCGCAGTGTACTGGAAGATACAAACAGTTGTGTTTGGGGTTGGTTCTCCAAATTTGTGTGATGAATCAGTGTCTGTGGTTGCTGTTGAAACAGATCCAACTGTATATTTGTTCTTTCTTTTTCATTGTTAGGATTGGTGCGAAGCATCAGGAGTTACGGCAAAAGCAACTGAGAGGCCTGAGTGATTATTCTACTGGTCCTGGAGGACCTGACATTGATGATGATGAGATGGATCCAAATTATGCCAGAGTAAACCACTTCCGAGAGGCTTATCCAGCAGCAAGCATCTACAGGCCATCATCACCAGCAGCAGCAGAAACCTTTGTATATCCACGTGATTCTCCTTCAGCACCAATGGAGAGGGAGCACTTGGAAGGACTGTATGCGAAGATAAACAAGCAGCACTACCCCCAGGCTCCTGGTGACAGGTAGTATTGCCACCTGGCATTACAAACAATGAGAGCTTGGTGGAGAGGGAACCTGGGGCTAGCTGGGGGGGGCGGCTGTTCAGATACCCCAAACCTATTTACTGACTAGAAAGGCATGGATTTCCTCTTAACCAAAACCATGATTTGCTGCAGCAGTACCTTCAGAGCATCTGAGCAGGGAAGCAGTCAAACAGAAATCATTAAAGTCCATATTTCACAAACAGAATGAATGAACTGACTCCAGTCCAATTCCTGCACTGCTGAGAGAGTGTTTTCCACTCTTTCAATCGGGAAAAATTCTTACCGTGCAGCAAAAATAGTCTCTGTTTTCAAATCCCTTTCGATCCTGCTGATCATCAAGTGCCTATTAGTAACAGGTTTTGTGTGATAGCATGATATATTGCATATGTTTATGGTTTAGTTTTCCCCAGCTGTGTGGTATTACACACTTTCAATTAGGTTGCGGAGAGGGCTAGGAATCATGGCTTTCTTATGCAGACTGTGAAGTGTGGCTTCACAAGACTGATTGCCTTTCACAGCCTTTCCAATAACCAAGAGGGAAGGAAAGAGCAATTTTTAATCCTTACTGTCAAGCTTCCAGGTTGATAGCATTAAAGAAAATGGTCAAGTTTTTCCCTGGGTTAAAAAGAAAACAGAAATTCCTCGGAGTTGGTGATGCACCCACCATTATGATGATTTTAAAAGTGGTTGCTTCTGGAATGTGGGGCTAAAAAAACATAAGACTTCATTATTATCATCACATTAATATATTGGTGCTAGGTTTTTCAAACCAACATGTGAGTGCATAGGTGAGGTATAAAAGTCTATGTGAAAAGAAGAGCTGACAGAGTAAGACATGGAGGACTTGGAAGAATTGTTCACAAATTGAGTTCATGTTACAGTCTGTAGTGTCTCCCCATTGCCTGAATCTGTGCTGTGTGATACCACACTTGTTAATTTTAGAGAAATATGTGGGCACAGATATACGAGTGTTTTCAGTTTGTGGCGTCATAGTACTTTAAAGAAGTCTACTGAGTCATGGTTATAAATAGTAATAAAACACTTCTGATATAAATCTCAGTTTGTAGCAAGGAATGGGCCAAGTATCTCTCTTTTTTACCTAAATACAGTATGGTGGAGATCTTTCCAAACATAATGACATTGCTAATTTTTTTTTCCATATTATTAACTCTTCATCTGCTGCACGGTGGTGAAGAGGTACTGATTGCAGCTTTTTGCCATCTAAGGGGTTTTGCTTTACTGGAAATTCTTGAGGTGATTATCGCTGAAGTTGCACAAATGTTTCTATATGGCGAAGGGATCAGAAACTGAGTTCGTACTAACTCAGTAAACCAAGACCTGAGAATTCCCAGCGGGAGGGAATCTAAATTCAGGTTCATGTATTTTTCAAATATAAATATATAGAGATATAATTCAATTGGAGTAAGACATTGTCATAAATATTGCATCATAATTTCAGTTTTAATGGGACTTCATAGCTTTATGTTTTAAAAATACCAGTTTTGAAGGGTGGTCTATACATTGTTTTTCCATGCAGCAAAAAGAAATGCCAAAGTCTTTTCCTCTGGCCTCTTTTATTTGATTGCTTGTATTGTGGTTGTAACTACACTGAATGAACTCTTGGATTGCTATGTGGACAAAACTGAAGTCCCAACGAGGTTTGGATTCAGTGTTGGGATCCTGGATTTTAGTATGGATTTTGTTGTAATTGCATGATAGCATGATAACTTGGTAAAAAACCAAAACCAAAACATCTAACAGGCAAGAAAAGTTACCTCATATCTGAGCCTGTGATCAGAAGTCACGCTGAGAGGCTGTTCTTTCTGTGTTGATTCTGTACTGAAAGACAAACAGTTCACAACAACTTCGCTTTGTTGAATTTCTCAGGCTTGTAGAGGCTGTTCAAGCAGATTGGGGAAATGTGGGATTCCTATTAGGCTGCCTTTGTTATTTTTTAAAATCTTTCTTTTCTTTGTCTCAGAGACAATAAGGTTGTTGTTATTTGCCAGCAGAAGTGTGTCAAACGTGAATAATTTTAAGTGAGTTTATGCAGTTGCTTGTGAGGTCTCAGCCAGCAGTTGTTGAATAGAGCGGCAACTTCAGGCGAGCAAATCTTTCTGTGCTAGAGGGGAGACTATTGAAAGGAGAAAGAGATGTGGAAAGGAAAATCCCTGGATAACACGTTAATTACAAAAACAAATCTGCTTTCAAGGGTCAAGTATGAAAACTACCTTGTCTGCCTCAAAATGATGGGAAAGGGCTATAAGGAATGCTTGTTAGCCAAACCAAAGTAGTTTTGTGTTTGCAGGGCTGAACATTTCGCAACACATTTGTCATGTAATAGCTCGTGCTTTGGTCGTGCTAACACATGCATGCTTGCTCTCAAAGTTTTGCTGTTAATTTTAGTTTAGATGGATGGCTTTTTCTCCCACCTCTGACTCTCAACTTGTAATATAGTGTGTGGAGACTTGATCTCTGAAGTATGTAAACAAGGTTTGGGGTAGAAGGGGCATTTGAACACAGAGAGAATAGATTATTTCATTTCAGTCTGGGAATTCCAGTTATGTGTCATTATGAGAGAGAACAAGAAGTTCATTTTTATTATATTTTTGCAAAAGAATGTATTAACATAATCAATGCCTTGTAAAATTTGGAAGTCATTTGTACAGAAAGAAGCTTAGTGGTCAGGTAAGTGCTGTTTACAACATTTACTCACCTTCCTTTTTCTTGTCACCTGAAGACGCTGAGTGTTCCTAGTTCATTCTTCTCCGTAGATTCCCAGTTTAAACTGAGAATCTCCCTCAGTGTATAGAAAAATAATGGGCTGCATGTGTAAAAAGACTGTTGTTTTAATCATTATGAAGTATGTTTTGCTGCCTCCAAGCACTGCTCCTCAGGGCACACACACAGACCTGCTTCACATTGCTGTTTGCATACTAACATCCCCTTTACCTACACTTGCATCTGGCATCTCAGGGGGGTTTTTGGGGGTTTGCTTCGTGTCTTATTTGCGACTGTTGTGTAACGTTCTTCTGCACTGCTTCACAATTGTGGATTTTCATTCCAACGATGACTGTATTCAGTGAAATAGATGTAATTTTTTGTGTATATTTTGCTGAAGGCTTTGGGATTCTTAACTAGGAGAGGTGCTATATAAATGTAAATTGTTCTTATTAGTGAGTATAGTGAAAGCATTAGCATGATCAGTGTATTCTGTGAATGTTAAGTTAAAAAGAGTGAAAAAGAATTAGCTGGCAAAATCACACATTTCTTTGTAAATCAAACATTTTTCTGTTTATTCCTAATTAGCCACAATTTTCTGTAATGCAAATGGCATCCAAAAGGATGGTGCAGTCTGCACAGCCACCTTGTGCAGCTGGGGAACTCGCAGGGCCTTTGCCTGAGATGCTGCACGTTTCCCCAGCCTGCGGTGGAGGCTGGGTGATCTGTGGCCCATATGTTCCTGAAACAAGTGGTAAGTCACATCTCTCTGAGTGTAGTCATCAAGGCTGTACCATGACAGTGTGAAGTTGCACCATGGCAGAGCCTAGGTGTCAGACCAAAGCCAAAAGAGCATATGCACACCACTATTATCACTTAAATGTCAGGCATGTCACATGGTGCAATCCTTTCTCACGTTTCAAATAAGCGATTTCCTCTTTTTTTCCTCACTTGAACATGGTGCTGTCAAGCATACCCAAACACCACGAGTACATCTCCAGAAAGGTTATAGAGACTTTGCTCAACTTATTTCCTCAGCCCAGAACTATGAAACGTTTAAAGTTTGATGCCAAACTCATTGCCAAGTATAATTCTTCATTTATTTATGTGTCTTATCTTGGGGAATTTCAAAGTGCTGGTCTGACAAAAACGAATACAGTTTTCCTTTGTTTAGCAAGAATAGATTCAGAGTTGTATCTTGTTGCAGATTTAAAAAAATACAAAAAAAAAAACCCAGCGCTGTTTTATTACATAGGAGTAGGGTCCAAAGCCCCAGTCTGATCCAGCTTTCAGTTTTTGGAGATGCTGTGTTGGGTTCCACTGTGCAAGAACTTATTCTCTACAATGTTAATTAATTAATTGAAAAATAGGTCATCTTTATTTCGGGGTGAAAGGTTCCTTGCACTCTTGCAGAATGTTTAATCTAGCAGCATACAGATTTGAAAGTGGGGAAATGAAACCCATACCTCTGTGCAACCCTCACTCTGCCCCTCAAGTCCCACCCTCGGAGCTGGCCAGAGTCATGGGAGAGAGGGGCATGACATGGAGCAGTCTGCCTCTCCCTGGAAGGGATCAAAGGAAAAGATTGCTGTGCATGTCCTGAGAAACCAAATGGCGAATGTAAGCTATGCATAAGCCTGAGGAGAGCAAAAAGAGTCCGGAGTTTTGAAATTTGGCAAAGGGAGCATTTTTTACTAAAAAGCAGGCTAAATGCTTGTCTTTTGGGCAGGTGTAGGTCACTCCTGTCCTGCTCAATCCAAGGCCATAAGAATCCAGAGCTGCACAGAAAAGGCTTTGTTCAAACGGGCAAGCTAGGGTTGCCCAGGCAGGTTACTTAGCCCTACGTGTCTCCTGAGCCAGAAACTGAAGTCGTCTTGTTCTCGGTTCAAAGCACGGTGGGCATTGCTCATTGTGCATCTGTTTAAAACACCTTTTGTCACTGACTAGCAAAAAAGCAATCCACTGCTGTAGGAGTGGATGGTCCTTTACTTGGGAATGATTATTCTTTAAGATGGATATCATGGAGGCAAGGTAGGAATTGAATGAGGCTGTGTAATATCTATGTACCCTTTGCCAATGTACCGTGTGTTACAGTGGAAAGAGAATTATGGTCATGCATGGGAATGTTTTGATTTACAAAGTGTGACAAGTACAAGCAAGGCATGCACTCTCTCTTTACGTTATAGTCTCTTCTGCTTGGTGTCCTAAAATCATCTATGCCGTTTCCCTATCCTATACTACCCTACATTCCCTGAGAC